CATTTAAAATGACATACTTACAATCATAATAATGCAAAAATACAAGAGCTAATAATAAATATATATTTTTAAAACGTAAAGTTGTAATATCTACATCTCTAGATGGACATTGTGACAAATGTCAATGAACAAAGACCAAAGGACAATAGGCCAAAGTCAAAGATCAGTGAGTGGAGATATTTTAAAGTTTTTGAGACGTATTTCAAATTTCGTATTTCAAAGTTTTCGAGATAATTCGATACAGTTTTAAGTTTTCCAGATATTTTGGCGTTTTTAATTTTTCTGAAGTATTTCGAAGTTTTTCTAATGATGTAAGTATTTTGATAAATTTTGAAGACAAACAGAATATTAGAAGAATTTTGAAGAAGATTGTACTATATATATTTTCGTGCCGCAGATTTTTTTATTAATAGTTTTTATTGATGAAAATGATAAATAAGCTAATATTTCAGAGATTTCAGATTTTCCTAAGGCCCAAAACTTTTCTGAAAAGATCATGTTTCCTTTTTTTTAAAAAAAATATAATAATAAAAAATGTATTTAGACAACGATTGTAGAAAATTTTGAAGAGAGCAATTTTAAATAATATTTCATAATTGGCCATTATTTCTGTTTTACGTAAGGCATCAACACTTGAACTACACACAGGTAACTCATGCCTATAGGCAACCTAACATACTCCCCTGTCGTACAGGTAAATAAATATGAACAATCACTTTTTACCCTACGTGCAACCCTCCTGAGCACCCCTACTTACCCTCGTGTTCATTCTTTCTATGGACACCCCTAATCGAAAGGATGGAATTATGCAACGGAAAGTGCTGCGTCAGAGACATCTATGCTTCGGTAGAATAACTCGAAGCTTAATTAAGTTGGTTGCATATGCTTCGGGGCGTAGGGAGCGAATCTCGCATTTGGAGTGGGTGGGATGAAGCGAAATGTATTTGCTCATGCATTTAGTATAGACTGGGGTTGGAATATGGGTAGAAGTTGTGTCGAGTCTTTTGCTGCAGTCATTTTTTATTGAGGGTTTGGAAAAACGTGGAAGCGTCGGTAAAAATGTAATATGTACCTACAGGGTGAGTTAGATTGATCATATGGGAGCCAAATTAAAAGTACTAATATTATTTATAGTTAGTAGTATGTTGGGATTTCTGCCAAATAGGAATAAAAGAAACCATACAATGTCTACGTTTCGTTTCTTTAGGACTCTTAAATGAAAGTAAGAATTACAAATAGTAAATAGTATATAGAAATTACAAAAAAAAAGTTCTTTCAAAAACACTCTAATATTAAAAAATGTATAATCAAATAAGTAAAAAAGGACAAATTAGATTTGTGAATAATTAAAATTATATTCTACTTAAGTCCTGAAGATGTTACAATAAAGAGACGAAACGTTGACACTCGCAAAATCTGTATTTTCTTTAGTTTCTGTTTGGCCATAAATCCCATCATAATAACTATACAGGGTGGTCCGAATTTTATGCAGGAAACTTCGAGGGCAGATAGATCTCTTTAAAATAATAGGTGTTTGCCTTATAAACATAGGTCTAGAACGGCCTCGTTTTAGAGATACAGGGTGTTAAAGTTGTTAAACAAAATTGATTTTTTGTTTATATCTCCGGAATCTATTAACCGATCTCAATAAAATTTGGCACAGATAATGTATGACAGTAGGCCTTGCATTCCCTAAAATGCGAGCTCTAGAGGTTTCAACCAGTGGTGTACAACTGGACAGGGGTCGCCCTCTTTTTATAAAAAAAACCTACGCCACTGTATTTTTTACAACATATTGTAACGGATTTATATTATAATGCACTAAAGACGTAAAAAAAGGTAACTTGAATTTTTTCCCTAAGATTCTCCGTTCTCATTTCAAACCATAATATTCCAAGAATATTTATGTTTATGCTTGTAAGTAATAATTCAAATAGATGGTTTTCTAAAGAGTTTAGAAATTATTGGGAATTTCGATGGTAGCAAGAAGAAAGGTCCACAAACTTTATTGCGAATTATTCCGAGCCACACTTTCACAGAAAATTCGTCTTGAAAAGATCTTGTTCGAATTTCATGAGGATTGAATGTAGCTTCATCGATCCAGAGTATTTTTAGTAAGAATTCTGGATTATGTTGTGATTTTAACAACCACCGGAAGTAAATTTTGCACAGGTTGTAAATGGTACGGATTTCTACCATCTTTATGTAGAACTTTTTAAATTTTCGATTTACTCATCTCGAGTTGCCGAAACGTTTTTTAATCCAAAAAGATGAAAGCGACGAGTGTAAAGAATTTTGTTGAAGTGCTTACAAATTGCACTTACTTTTAAGCATAAACATAAATACTATTGTAATATTATGGTTAGAAGTATCTGTCACAAGGGGATTGTATTGGTATGAATAACTTGAGAACGGTGAAATTTACGGAAAAAAGTTACCTATTTTACGTATTTTGTGCATTAGAATACAAATCCGTTACAATAACTTGTAAAAAATACAGTGGCAGTTTTATAAAAAAATGGGGTGATCCTATCCAGTTGTACACCACTGGATGAACCTTTAGAGTTAATATTTTAAGTAATGCAAGGCCTACTGTCGTACATTATCTGTATTAAATTTTATTGAGATCGGTTAATAGATTCCGGAGATTATAAACAAAAAATCAAATTTTTTTAATAATTTCAAAACCCTGTATCTCTAAAACGAGGCCGTTCCAGACCTATGTTTATAAGGCAAACAGCTATTATTTTAAATAGATCTATCTGTCCTTGAAGTTTCCTGCATAAAATTCGGACCACCCTGTATTTATTTTGCTACTAATTCTATAATTTCCGTATTATTATTCTTTTCCTAACTAAAGAAAACTTGAAAAAAACTAAATAATGAATATGTTCAATAATACTCCCATAGATTGCAAAAAAACATCAAGTTATATTTTCATTTAAAAAAGGAAGAAAAATAATCATTTCTTGGTTGGTAGAAATAGATAGTTAAGTTACTTTTTTTATCATATTAACTAAAATGATTTGCCACCCTCATCTCCGTCACTGGTTGCTCAGAGCACTTAGTATTTCATCGAATATTAAGGCAACCTGTATTTCTAGGTATGATGTGTATCAAACTTGGTTTAAATATCTACGTTGCTTTGGAAAATATGAAATATATTTTTGCTATCTAATTTCAAAAATACTTACTCCCAAATCTGACGATATATAGAGGCTAACTTTAACTAGGGATCAGTTTTTTAAAGGTTCCTCAGAACATTAATCTAAAATTAATATATTTTATATTTCTTTAAATTACACTTAATCCGCTGTCTACGCCGCTACTGGCCAGCTCCAAGATTCGGCTGCATGTACGTTTTTATTAATGTTGCCTCTTGTTACCTTATATAAAAAGGTGATGAAATGTCGAACATCAAACAAATTTCCCAGTGTTTCTAAAGTAAAAACTTTTTGCATGATTTGTTAAATATTAACTAATATTTACTGTATAAATTAAGTAAGATTTATTTAATAATGATTGTTTTTGCTAAAGCACTTTAATTAGTTTGTGAATCTCAATGTAAATCATCTCCGACATTGACCTAGTTTAGTTGAACTACATAATACCAATCCTCCTATTGTGATATGACAACAGGATGCTAAGCGGGCAAGAAATAGGAAAATGACCAACATTAATTCGATGAAAGAGAATTAATTACATTTATTTTAGTTTTAAGTTTACTGATTTACTAGAAGGTGTTTGCAATACAGTAGGTAATTTCGTGGTATTCATCTTATAATAAAATTTATGGTGGTACTTAGTAAGTCTATTATGCAGTGAAAAAATATAGTAAGTAATTTCAAAACAATATTAAAAGTCAGTTTTCACGAAATAATTTGAGAAAACTAACTTATGACCTTTTTTTAAAGGTAATCTTCACGTAAACATGACTCCCATCAAAAGATACACCCTGTATACAGAGTGAAGCAAATTATTACAATATTTATATTTATTGACTTGCAAATAGAGAGGCAAATCTTCCTTTTTTATAATTTTGTCAGATTTACTAATAAGAAAGAATTGAAAGAAAGCATTTAGAGTATTTAAATGTTGTAATAGCTGAGTAATTTGTATATTCTATAAGTTCACTAAACGTTTATTGTCCTAGGAAATACTAAGAAATAAAACAATGCGTGTCAGTTGTAATATTTAATGTAATACACACTGAAAAGAGATGTAAGTATAGGAATACGATTCTACTAAGTACTTTGTTGTACCCCATACAAACATCTAAAGTGCTACAGCCATATTCTCAAATAAATAAAAAATATTCGAAATAACATATTAACATTAATAGTTTACAATTACATTCAATTTTTTTGTGAATCCGTCAGACCGACAGACGGACAGAGGATGCTGGAGAGACCCTGGTCCACGTTCAACTAAATATTGCGCACCCAAATTGCAGTCACCATAGGAATCTTTTTGTTTTACGTTATATTACTCTCGAATTCTAACCCTGATTTCATCGAACACCCTGTAGAAAACAGGTATTTAAACTAACACATGAATTGTATACACAAAGTAGTTCAGTATACTAAACCCAAACCACTCCTATTCATGTACAAGACTAATAAAAGTTTTGGAACAAATGTTGTACTTTTTCATGGGTTTCTTTACTTACTAATACCACACGCTTTTAACAACACTTCACGCCCTTTTATATATTTTTCACCAACTATATTTGTTTCTTTACATCGTTCTTCCAAGTATCCTGATCTGAGTCCAATTGAATTTTTGTTTTTCGGGCCCGGAGGGAGTGTTGCAAAAAGCAGATATAGCGAATACAAATTAGAATTAAAATTTGTTCCAAATTTTTTTTCGTTCTACCTTAAATTTGTAGAATTGTCACCTAATATGTACACAGGTATTTTGATTTCAGTGAGATCTCCTGGAAATAGCCCATGGTTTGGGAACAACAAGGTATTAAATTTACAAAACAGCAGTACACAGTGGTTTTTCGAAATATCTTATATTGAAACTCTGTATGATACACTGGGTCTAATTTAACACGGCAATAATAAATAGTTCCATATATTTACATTGCGGCTTACTGGCCAAAAATGATATGATAGGGAATGTACAGCGGGCGAAAACTCCGCCAATACTCAAGCGACGGCTTCTACCCTCAGTCTCAACATATAAATCTAATTACAAATATACAAGTACATAATAATAAACTCAATAATCAATAATAATCTTGAAAAAAAGTTAAACATTGCTTTGGTATCAGTTACGAAGAACAACGTGATCCTGTTTATCCATTTTTACGGCCGGGATCACCTTTAATGTTTAATACTATACAAGATAACTTACATTAATAACACTGGACAACCCTGGCTACGTTAAATAATTTCGTAGACAAATGTCTTGCACGATTTGCTAATGGTTTTGGCTTATTCGGAAAATTTAATGATTGCTTACAAAATAAACATATTTGTGATATTTTCCCATCGCATTTTTGAAATATACAGGGTGTTTAGTGTATATGTAAATTTAAACTTAACAAATCCTTACAAACAACATTTAGTTGGTACACTAAACATCATGTCAATGTCTACTATACTGCATCCATTAAATTTCTTCGCCTTAAAACCACCGAGTGCAAATTGTGCAAGACTGTGTACCCTTTCTAATAATTAACAAGGCCATGAGATGTCCGTCCATAACGCTAGGGTACTTTCATTTTGAGCTGGCGCAAAACGTCCGATTTAAGCGAGAAAAAATTTCCGTCCAAGTTTTAGGCCACCAGAAAATTGAACTACACTAGACTTCCCAACAGAGGCTAGATCACCGCTCACAACAACAATTTCCTAAACAGTTCATCGGGACTAGTACGTTAAACTGGGGGGCGGCGGGGGCAACCTCATGCCGCCCCATGGAAAGAGTCATACGGCCTCTTTGGAAGTGATACTCGTCGAGGAATCTTCATCGCCGCTTAGCATGGGCATCGTGCCCAGGAGGTGGCCCTTGCCCTGGTTCACCACGCATTTCCTCATGTGTTTTTCCAGCGTGGAGGGTACAGAGAAGGGCATCTCGCAGAACCGGCACCTATACACGTCTTTGCCGATCCTGCCATGGGTCTTCATATGTCGTGTCAACTTAGAACTTTGCGCGCACGCGTAGGAACACAATTCGCACTTGTAGGGCTTCTCCCCCGTGTGGGAGCGCCTGTGCACCGTCAAATTCGAACAGTTTTTGAACACTTTCCCACAATACTCACAAGTGTCGTTGCGTCGGGATTCCTTCTTTAGTAGGGGGTTGGGTAAAAGCGCGCTGGGACCTGGAACTCCTTTATTCTCTCTAGGCAAACCAGGCAACCACCAGTCGGTGCGCTCCAGGTCCAGTTTCATCCTCTTACTAGCTTCGTAGGAGTCGTTGAAGGGGGGAAATAGTGGTAGGGGTTGTGGTGGAGGAACTGGTAACAAGCCTTTGGCGAAATCGTCTCTGATTTTGAGTTGGCTCAAGCTGGTGTTGTTGTTGTCCCTGTCTTTGCTAGCTAGTTGAAGCTTAAGAGCTGTGTTGGATTCCTGAAGCGCTTGTTTGTAAGCTTCGCTGTACTGGGCAATATTGCTTAAACCAAATTTATCCATCAGTTCACCTACTAGTGAAGCTGATGGATTAGCCTCGTTTTTTGACATTTGACTGGGTACGCTTAGGTCTTCCGCTTCCTCTTCTTCCAATTCATCTTCCTCTTCCTCTTCATCGTCCATCTCGTCTTCGTCCTCACTTTCATCACCCTCTAGTGTTTCTACTGACCCTGCATTACTAGTGCGATCTTCGGGAGTTCTGTGCAGCTTCATATGTCTTTTCAGTTTAGAACTTTGCGAGCACGCATGGTCACATACGCTACACTTGTAAGGAAGTTCTCCCGTGTGCGTTCTTCTGTGAACCTCCAGGTTGTTTTGATAGCGGAACTTCTTCCCGCAGTAGTCGCAAGCGTGGATGGGTTCTGCGGAGTTAGAGTTCCTCGGCGAGCCAGGTTTTCCTGGAGGTGTCGAGGCAGATCTGGGAGTATTCGTGATCTGATCGTCTCCTTTGTTACTGGGGGGCGAAACACTAGGGGGCCGACTACTGTTCCCGCTGTTGCTACTGTTGTTATTATTATTATTGTTGTTGTTGCAGTTGCTACTGCTCGAACTAATGTTGTTGGGGATAGAAGTGGGCGGCAGCTGGGAAGGGGAAGGACTTGCGAAAGGCGGTGAGTGCTTGCGGGGTGACGGCGAGCTCGCCTGCGCCGCCCCCGGGCTGGTGGTGCCTGCCAATTGCCTCAACCGCTGCGAGTAAAAATCCAGCTGGGGTTCCAAAGATAAGGGTTGGTTGGGTGTGCTCCTCTCCCTCGATGGAAGACTACTAACGGAACCGGCACGTTCCGCAGGCGAGGGGAAGCTTGAATGTGGGGGTGGTACCCCTCCGGCAGCCACGGCGGCGGCCGCCGCCGCCAGATTCAGACCGTGGTGGCGGAATTGTTCGCTGACTAACTGGTCGATCCTGTAATGGTGTTCTGGTCTTGAAAAGAGGGGCGCTGGAGGTACCGGTCCATGGTTAAGTGGTGGTAATGGAAGCCTAAGCAAACCTCCAACTCCAAAAGGGTTGTGTAGGTCCGGAGGCGGCAGGAGATGGTGCCTCATATTTGGGGGAGGTGGAGGTGCTCCTCCCGAGGAGCAGCCCGAGGAACTGTTGCTGACGGAACTGGCGCCGCTGTGATTGTTACTGCTGGTACCTTTCGAGCTGGTGGGCGAACTTTCCACGTAGATTTTAATGCCGTGGGCGTGCTGGACATGCTGCACTAGCCTCCATGCTGAGTGAAGGCGCGCCTTGCAGGTGCTGCACACGTAGTTGCTAGGTTCTGGAAGAAGAAGAAAAAAATAAGTAGAAGTTATAACAGAATCAGAAAAAAATTATAAAGTAAACAACACACTAAAAACTTAAACTTTATATTTCTCAATGGTAATGAGTTAAAAACAAGACGTGACATTATATTATACTTATTATTACTTGCGATCCAGTAATTTTCTTCTTAAAAAGTAATGCTTAATTTATACAAAATTTGCCCAATGGCAATTGTTAAAAAATAAAAATACAATTTTCTCCTAAGCATCTAAACATATATTTTTTTTTAAATTTAGCACACGAGCAATGCTAATAAATAGCCATATTGTGAAGTAAATATCAATAAAATCAATTGACGGTATAGATAGGGGGTAATGTAGGGGTAGCCGCCCTTTGTTTCACCCTGTATTTTTTATACCACATATTTTGATAACTTGTCATCAGTGGACCGATAATTTGATTATAAGGTTCTCTCGACATTATTTGTCATGGTTCATTAATATTATTAGTTAATTTTTAAAGTAGGCTGTTCAATTGTATGAAACCATTGAAATATCATCCTGATAGTGGTGTCAATAAATAAGGGTGTTATAGTCTGTTTAGAAATGAAAGAGAGTAATAAAAGCTTATTATGTATGCAAATCGTAAATAAATGTAGTACTGGTGCTTATATTCAATATTTTTATATTATGTATTTTCCGTATAGATGAGGTGTACTTTTAAAAAAACTTTGTGCGATCGGACTGTACTAAATTGTAGCAGGTAGCTAAAATTTAATCCCCGACAATCCGTCTTTGTCTATGCCGCTTCAATTTCTCGGTCCATTTCTCTTATAAGTAAACAATATAAAAACAGCATTTCAAAACATGAGGCTACTTTAAGCATCATAACCGGGTTAAGAGGGTTTTTAGTAATTCAAATAAAATTATTCAATATTATTATCAAAATATTTATTTAAATTTAATGAATAGACTTTTATTCCACACAAAAATATATGTATTTTGAAAATTCAAATTATGGTGAGTAAATGTAGTGTTGTATAAATGTACAATAAAGAAAATAAAAAAGTAGGTATATTAAAATTCATCCTCTGAATATTCTGATGAATTATCTTCGTCTCCTAGATTGATAACGATAGGTTCCACAGTAACGTCAATTAAATTATCGAGTTCCCACATTTTCTCCTCTTCTTTTTGTACATGATGTATACATCTTTGCCAGTTATCTGCAGTTACTCGTTCCAAGGAATTTTTTAACAAAATTTTCACGTCACTTAATTTAAACGTCGTATTATTTCGCGCTACATCTCCTTTTACCTGCGCCCAGACTAATTCGATTGGGTTAAGTTCACAGTGATAAGGTGGTAACCGTAGTACCGTTATTTGGCGATTTGTTGCCATTTCATCGATAACATATTTTTTCTGATCTTTATTAAGATTGACAAGTGTCAAAAGTTCCTTTTTCACCATATTTGTTTCAAAAGAAATGTTTTTTCCGGATAACCATTGAATTATATCGGCTTTCCTCCAAGCAGTCGTAGGCGTCCGCTCGGTCTGCCGTGAATGGTAACTGGCATTATCCATGACAATTACAGACCCCGGAGGAATAAGATCCAACATCTGTGTAAAATACTCTTCGAAAACATCTGCGTTCATGTCTTCGTGATAGTCACCTGTATTTTTAGATTCAAATAAAAGTAAACCGCCATCTACAAAACCACTGGCACTACCTATATGTGTCACTATTAATCTTCGCCCTTTACCTGAAGGTGCCTTGAACCCTGTTGAAAGTCCATCCAAAAATGCTTGTCGAAAACTTTTTACATTTTTATCTTGCCATACTTTTGTTACAGTATATCCCTCGTTGACCCAAGTTTCGTCTAGATAATAAATATTCCTCCCTTCGTCACGGAATTTTCTAATTGATCTTAAGTAGGATCTTCGCCAACAAATAATTTCATCTTTATCGATAAGAACTGACTTCCTGTTCTGCTTTTCCCAGCAAAAATTCAACTCTCGTAAGACGGCCCATAATTTGCTTCTACTGATTTTTGGCAAATCGTTGTCCTCTGAAAGTTCACTTAAAATTTTGTTTAGCGTTGGTATTTCTTTTTTAAAATAAAATGAGTGTACTTTTCTGCGAATGACATTTTTGAAGAAATCATCTATAACGACTTTTGACCTCCCTGTAGATGATTTTGGGGGATTTACAGTATCTTGTTCATTTTTTGTTTCCTTTAAAAGTCTGTAGATAGTCGATTTTCCAATCCCTGTCATTTTGGAACACTTTTCCACGATGTCGTCAACACTGTTGGTAGGATTTTGGTGTTTCAATGCATTAAATACATTTAATATAATAATCTTCTCATTCTGAGACAGCGCACATCTTTTCACGCGTTTAGCAGGTACGTAATCTGATAAGCTCGACATTTTACCCAAACAATATTATATCCACTGGCACAATAGTCACTAAACACAAGTCGAATTTTACTCTACTGCACTAGCACGTCTTCGTATATTCAGCTCTAAGACTGGATTGATCTGTCACAATACACTGGCTCCTGCCCTATGATGTATCCAGTAAAATATACTAATGTACACCCATTACCTGTTAGCATTAGTGTTACCCGATAATTACCTGAAACGAAATATTACCACGCCCATGGCCGGTTCTTATCTCGGGGTTTTATTACTCTCTTTCATTTCCAAACAGACTATAGTTCGTTTAAAATATTCTACTTATTTATAAAATGTTTAAATTTAATTTTTGAAAAAATGGCGAATATTACTTTTAGTGAACAACAGACAGTATGTTGCTCACTGTAGACGAATGTTAGACGGTATGTGAAATATTTTCCAAACATCAATTGAGGGAAAATAGCTTATTTAAATCCAGACATAATGACGCTGATCGTGCCTGATATGTTCGAACAAATGACAATAAAGAAATGGTTTGAAATATTGCTCCTACAAGAAAAACTCGACGACTCTGTAGTGTAGCGAGTGTTACGAGAGCAACTCGTTAGATTAGATTAGAGAAATTACGATTTCTGTTTAAAATGTTGCAAATCATCATGAGACGTGAGATTTCCACAAGCACCCTAAATGTGTGGATAGGTATGATAGAACATTATCTTGTTTCTTAGAAAACAATTAAAAGAGTCTTCTTGGTGAGGTTCCATTGAAAATAAGGCAAAATATGTGGTTCATAATGGTGCCCCAGCACATTATTCATTGATTGAACAGATCGTGTCGAAAATTTACGAATTGCTTGGCCAGCGCGTTCTCCTGATCTTAAACCTTTTACCTCTGGAGTCACTTTAAAGGCTTAGTTTGTTCTACTCAAGTAGATAATGTGGAAAACATTAAGTACGAAATGCTGTAAATGAACTTAGACGAGGACTCGTGCTTGTCTGAGTCAAGAGACAGGCGATTTGAGAACAATATTTAAGTTATTTAAATCATATAATATAAAAAAATGATATTAGGGAGAAATTTGTATTTTTACTTTGTTTTATCGTTAGGGTTGCATTTTGGTATCTAGATAAATTAGGTTCAATCGATCTATTTGACCTCTAGTTTCAATATAGTATAAGTTTCGCTGCACATTTTAAAACCACCCTGTAAATGGCTTTTTTTCCGTTATATTTGCGTCTCTTTTCCGCTCTGTGAAGACCTCCAGAAGATCTGCTCTAAAAACAAACGAAACTATCGCAGGCGCTCGTATTTCCTTATGCAACATCCTACAAAGTGCCAAATTACGCCGAGAACAATGTCCACCGTCCCATTAAAGACAGTCAGAGATCACCCGACCCATCATTACGGCATAGCTTCTTCGTTTGACCTCAGAGGCTGCTCAGTTACCCGTACATCCTAGCCATTGTCGTCGACCTCCTCGGCTCCGACTGCTTGGGCATTCCCAGGCCAGTCACGTCCGACACACCCTGGCCGAGCCGGGAGCGTCCAGGCGATTTTTCACGCCCGATTTTCAGTGTATTATCCGGCGGGCGGCGGGGGCGGTAATGGCCCGTCGACATGTGGCCGCATGCAGATCGCCACCGCCGCGTTATGGACACTTAAATTGGTTTCGTGCGGCGTCGTTCACGACATACCCGAAGAATTTCGCGCGTAAATGTTAGTGGAAACATAGCAGAGATTTTATTTCGTTAGACTGAAATTGTTCGATGTCGTTGCCAGGATCTTTCACCTGCTTGTAAATTTTATGAGGACCACTTTCAAAATTCTAGTTCAATTCTATTAATGTCACAATTTGTCTAATTCGCAATTAAAGTATCAATATTATATTCCTTATTTAGTTCAAAGCTTTAAATGAAAATATAGTAATTATTTGAAAAAGAGTTGTGAAAACCTTAAAAATCACTCATTCTGCGTCTGCAAATGATAAATCAATAGAGTGAAATTCAGTTATAATAAAAATAAATGCAATTTTTTTTCATTACAACAAGAACTGACATGAACTGTCAAATACAGGAGATACAGTCCAAGAAAGAGAAATTTGTAGAGAGCTTTATCGTATTAACGTGAAATAGCGGGTGTAGGTAAATTAGTCCTGTTTAAAATATTTTTATAAACGTTTAAAATTTTCTGCGGGTGTGGGCTGAAATTCATCCATTATTGAATAAAATTGAATGAAATTTGAGTAAAATTTTTTTCTTCGATTGTACCCCTTCAATTACCTGTATCGGCGACACTGCTTTTCAGAAAGAAACCGTTTGTGCATTATTCTTAACGCACACTTGCTGTTTACTCGTGTACAAATTTTTACATTTTTATCTTCCGTTAATTTAAAGATAATTAAGGAAAACCATATGGCAAGTAGCAACTTCAACACACTGTATCTCGAAAACAGGGCGTCCAAGAAAAAAACTTTACATGAACTATCCCTATTATTTTCCTATGAGAAACATGCATACAAGTTTTTTTGAAACATGAACGGGACATCCTGTATATATAAAATATAAAACACACCACAGAAATGAGACAACCCCCAAATCCA